AGGGGGCGCAGTTTAACCAGAGTAACATAGAATGTTGAGAGAATAAAGTGTATGCCCGGGAGTTGATGCTGTGGCGGGGAAGCATGAACAACAGTAAAGAGCTTAGTACCTTAGTACCCGTATCCTCTGTCCCTTGCTTCATTAATGTCTTTTTACTGATACACAACAGGTGAATGGTTGAATGATGACTCACACGCTCTGAGGGTTACTAAAGTAATCTTGCTTTGTTGTTTTTTGAGTTTTTTATTATTTAATCTCTGGGGGTATTTCAACACATTTACATTAAAAGTGATGAGTCAATGTTGTGATATCATGTAATATATACATTATTCAAAAAATAACAAATTATATGCATTAAAATATGTGCACTTACTGAGCTGGATATCACACAGAGAAGCGTCTCAGTCAATGCCATGGCTCTCAAGAAGACTAATCTGGACAAGCATCATTTTGTGTGGGAATTTGGAAAGTGTAAGCAAAGCAAGCTGTGAGGGGGGAATCTAATGGAAAGAGTATAGCAATAACGTAAGAGAGTAACAAAGTAGGGGACCAAGTATTCTTGGAAGTTGTACATAACAAATTGCCAATAATCTGCTGAGAGCTGCGGTAATGCCCTCAGAAGATATCCTGCAGGATCCCGGCAAAAAGAGCGGGAAAATGTCCAAAAAGCCAGACCCAAAACACCTGTCTCCACCAGCTGTTATCTCCTAACGAAGCAGTATGGCTGTAAAAAGACTCATCTCAACTCTCTTTCAACCAGTTACTTTTCAAAATGTGGAACATTTTGATTACTTAGTCAGTTGCAGAATTATGTAGCTGAACAAGTTGACTGTATAGAAAGGTGAGTGTATACAAAGATGTCAGTTCAGTAGCAGTCAATTGAGGAATGATCATGTGTTGGTAATTATAACCTAACAGTCAGAGCAGAGAATAAACTAATACAGATATTCAGTTGGCAAACCACATTCTAAGAGACGTTTAATCCGAACATTTTGAACCCTGCATTATTTACATCAGGGTCAACTTGTCGCCTAGCAGTCTTCTTCTACCATGTGTTTCTGGGTGCTTTCTCACTCCCTTAAGATCCATTAAGAAGCATGATACCATTACAAGCAATGTGTCTGACACATGTCCTCATGTGCAGACTGTACCAACCATAGACTGTATAACAACACAGTCTCATTTCGTGTTATAGTCACGAAAAAAAACTGAAAATCAATAGATTAAATTAATTTTGTGACTATAACACGAAATGCCGTGAGACTGGGTTGCAACAGGTATCACATTCTCACTCCCAACTCGGCCTATGTTGACGTTAGGTCAGGGTCCCTTGTTCGTCACTTTCCAACGCACGGGGAGGCCCTTTAGCGTCAACTTTCGGGGATGTCCATAGACTTCTATAGAGCTCCCTAAACGTATGTAGCCTACCAGACAACTTGAAATCGTGAGCGAATGCTTCCCACTGCGTGATTGAAAATACTTTATTAAAAAAAAGGGACAATAAACAAAGCAATCGTCACAACGGCCGGACAAAATACATTGAGCCCCCCTATAGTCAAAACCTGAGACACAGTTTAAAGCATATTAAAGATAATATATAGAGAGCATGATGTTTTTAATGCAACGCAGTCTCGCATCGCGTGCTTCAGAACGGGCCGCGGTCGTTGAATTTCAACGCAGCGGGGAGCATTCACTCGGAATCTCAAGTCGTCTGCTACATACGTTTAGGGAGCTCTATAGAAGTCTATGGACATTGGAAAGTGACGACAAGGGACCCTCACATAACGTCAACATAGGCCGAGTTGGGAGTGAGAATGTGTTGCCTGTACACAAGAACCAACAAAATAACATTTGATTTGTTTAGCTCATTTAAAGTAAACTAAATTAACGACGAACGCTGACTGTAGGGAATTGCTGGCCTGTGTCGACACACTCTCTCTATTAAACACTAACAGACGGAGAAATGAAATCACACATTAACAGATGGAGAAATAAAATCACCCACTAACAAACCAAAAGTGATCTCTGCCTAAATGGAATTGTTCATTAACGTGCAGCGCTGTGGGCATGGATTTAATTGTGATTTCGGCAGTTACGCAGAATATTTTATTTGCAGCATGCAGATAACACAAGGGTCAGGGGAAATATACTTGTTATGGTTCTCCAGTATTATGAGATTGCACTAGAAATAGTAGCTGTGACATTGACGTATCACTGTAATTCCCCCTCATCCCATTGCTTCATGGTTATAGGCAACATGGTAATAAAACACAGTTGCACACGACTCAGCAGTGGCAGGTGAAGCGAGCTGGTTCAGCCTCGTGTTCTTATGTAAGGGCTTGTGGGTTTGTTCGCCCCCTGGTGAAGCTTATATTTGAAGCTTTTGGTACTTTTGTGACAAAACAACACAAGTAGTTTGGATTATGTTGGGATATCTTTTACTCTCTTGACAAGTTCAAAGCTTCAGCAGAAGCTATCAGATACTCTTAGGATTCCTTGCAGATGTGAGGCATTGAATACACTGAATGTCCTTTTTTTACTGGTTAAAAATTAATTACAGTGTTGGGGAATAAGGGACCAGCCTTCAGGTGCTTTAGTGGCTGGCAGAGGATTTTTGTTTGGGGAGTCGGTGTACCTATAGCGACAATCCACAGCCCCGAGGTACAGAATCTCCCAGTGCTCACAAGCTCAGCAATAACTTCAAACTGCGAGGCTGCATTTGTATGCTCAACACGGAGTCAGCTCGTAGCCCAGGGCCATGTTGAATCCTCTCAGGAAGTTATGATGAGGAGTTAAGACACATGATCAGAGTTGATTGAAAACAAAAACATCCATCCCAGAAGTCTGAGGAGAAGGCTTTGATCTCCTTCTCGTTAATTTCGTCACACTAATTGAAAGTTTGGCAAACATTATTAATGCTCAACAGAACCCAAAAATATAATGAGGCGCAGTGTAATGTTCCCAGTGTGTTTTTAGAGTCATCATCAGGATATCACTGTTTAATGTTTACTTAACTTAAAGGTCCCCTATTATACTCTTTTTCAATTATATATTATAGGGTCTCAAATATATACACAGCATGTCTCTGAAGTGTTCTGCTCGAAATACCAAACAGATCATGCATTGAAGCATGCCATTAAGCCCTCTTTTTCAGCCATGTTTCAAAAGTGCAGATTTTGTATCTGTAGCTTTAAATGCTAATGAACTGCTGCTGGCCACACCCCTCTGAGAGATGATTGGTTCGAAAAGGTTCAAGGTTAGTTTTTAATACAAAGAGGCAATTCAGTGCTTCACATAGGCATTTAACACATAATAATTAAAAACAAAACAATTTTAAAAAGACAATTCATAAAAAGGGACAAAAGAATGGTTGCAAAAAATACAATGGTGCTCTAGGAGGAGATTCAGGTAATAAGGTGGGCGGGTGTTACCTTGGATTGTTATTAGCTTAAGGTTGCACAACCCAAAAAAACATTGTGACATCACAAAGTGGCTTTTTCTGAGGGGACACATATTTATGAAAGACATGAAAAAGTGGATTTTGCATAATATGTAACCTTTAACAATAACCTCCTTTTTCAGTTTCTATCTCACTACTTTTTCATAAAGTAATTTGGGGCTGTTAGAAGAGTCTCTGCCTTGAAAGTTTAAAGTTATCTAGTCAAGGTCAAATATTGGGCTTGCAGATAATAAAGCTATCTTTCTGCCTCTGACTACTTATATAACACAGAGTAAAGAAAAAAGACAAACTCATCTCTGGGATTACAAAATAAGCAACCTCCACCAAGCAGCCCTGTGTGAGAGCTTTAATGCAAACAGTATACTGGGGTAACACACTTTGGTACAAGTCTCTTCCCTCTCTGTGTGCTGTTCAGGAGCAGAACAGACATGGTAATGAGGACATTAATAAAGGATGCCGATACATTTTTAATGATCCACTGGCCCCTTTAGTTTCAAAATGATTTTCATGTCCGTGGTTGAGTTTTCGATTCCAAATCCGTGTTTTGCTCCGAGCGCGACTTGCAAATGTGCTATTTTTTCTGCCTGCATGAACAAAGTGCTGCATAAGACCTGCATATACACCTGACTGTGTGTGTGAGAGATAGAGAGACGCAGGATCAATCTTCTCTGTCTATATTTGGAAGATAATACTTGAAGCAGGAAAGTAAGGAGGGGGAAAAAAGTTGAAACTCTATTATCCTGAAGTTAACTTGTCTTGGAGCCAGGCATTAAACACAAAGTGAAGAGAAGAAAAGTAAGGGGGGAAGTCTACTGTATACCAAAAAATCCAATACTGGAAATGAGATCTGCTTTGGTTGTCGCACTGTGTGGTTGTGTCAGTTCCTTTTTTTGTTTTTACGTCCATGTTCAGCTTTAATTTTTGATGAATTCCCTCTCTGTGACTTCTCCCATCTAATATGGATGCAACAGACCTCCGACCACATTAAGAGGATGCTGCTATTTGCTTTTAGAGCATATTTGACAGCAATCCTCAAACTTACCAAATTAGTTTTCTGCAGAAATCAGATGTCAGGTTTATCTTTTGTGAATCTTTCCAAACATTTGACCATGTTAACTTACTGTTGAGGCATCAGATTGGATTAAAAAGAGGGGGATAAGAGAGTAAGATAAACTGGCTTTACACTCTTACACACACATCATGCCTTTCCCCACTTTCGTCAGGGGAGAGTCTGTCTTCTCTCTGCAGCAGGCATCTCTTTCTCACTGCTCTCTCTCTCCCTCCCTCCCTCCCTCTCTCCCTCTCTCTTGCTTTGTTCATGCTGTGTTTGCTGTGCTCTCTGTCTGAAGCAGCGCCACACTGGAGCACTAATGAGCAGGCTCAGAGCAAACCCAACACAGATCTCCCATCAGTTCAGGAGCAGCAGCATCTCTGACGCCATCTGAGTTTACGAGGCGCAGCACTGATCTGCAGTCAGCGGGGGGGGCAGCAGGGGGAGGCGCACAGGAAAGGTCGTGAGGTGTCTTCAGAGGCGAGATAGAGAGAGAGAGGGAGGCATCGCTCCAGAGTTACAGCAGACCTTCTCCACACTCGGAGGCTGACCCACAGTGCACTTTCTCTGGCTGAAGACGGAGGGACCTTTCCCCCTAAGAGAGGAGTGCAGCCATGGAGGAGATGCTCACCTGCAGCCGCAGCCCTTTCTCCCAGGTGTTCGGGCGGCAGGGTCAGCTCATGCAAGCCAGTGAGTGTTAACTTAGTCTGCAAGATGTCAAAGTTGTATTTGTCTTGCTCCATCCTCCATCCTGATTTAGTGTCTGAAACTGGGTGCAGACACTGTTCTTTTTGTATTAAATGCTAAACAGATATAGAGTGTTTTGTTATTATAATGTCAGATATTTAAAGCCAGTATGCCAAATAAAGATGTTTATGGAGGCAACAGTTGATGATGTCCCAGATTCACCAAAAAACAGTTTGTACCTAAAATGAGCACTTCTTTCTTAAAGAAGCTTTTTGTGCAATTCATAATTCAGTTATTTCAATATTTGTATTAGGGGTGTTAAGACATTTAGTCTGTTTTCTCTCTTGTAAAATAACTTGGAAAAATGTTATTAAATTCAGCTGCATGTAGCATCACTCTCTCAAATGTGTGGGTTTGACAATTTTGCTGCATATTGTAATGTTTACATCAATATTGAATAATTTCTAGTTTGTCACTGCGATGTGTTAACGTTGATGGAGTGTGATGCTGCGCTGATGAGGGATGTGAAAATGTGTGCGCCCGTGTGAATGTGTGTGCGCCCGTGTGTGTGTGTGTGTGTGTGTGTGTGTGTGTGTGTGTGTGTGTGTGTGCAGGAGCATCCTTTTCATGCGCACGGGTATCCTTTGATGTCTGTCTGACCGAACATGCCAGAGGTCTAAAAAGGGAACAGGAGAAAGCTGTCAACAGACTTAAATTACAGTAGAAATGCAATGTATTTAATTTAAGATAACATTAGTCAATGATAGCTATAACACAATGAACAAGTATTGCAATTAATGCCTTTTTGGAGCCATAATACTTGATTTTCGTCTCGATTGATTATCAGAATATATGTTAATAATAGAATGCATTGTTGATTCCCAGTAAACTGAGTATTTGCTTATTTTATTAACTTATCTCCAAATAAAAAAATTAAATGCCTCTGCAATAAATGTTGCACTACGCACTTATTTATTTTTTGCAAGTAGGCCCAGGAGTGAATTGGCGGTAAAATAAATGGAATTGTACTCATTATGATGCTTATGTTTTTTTATTATCAATATTGGAAGGGAGTTTTTGCTTTAGGGGTGCTGCACACTCACAGTCCCCATGGAAACCCGGTCCTATGTCGGCACACTTATGCATTATGTGATGTGCGTTTGTTTGAATTGTGCTTATCAATCCTCACGGCATGACACAATCCACCTTGGATGTTCTGTACCAAGGTGTCTCATAATGTCTAAATCTGAAAATAGCATCCTTTGGCTCACCTGATGTGAAGTGTAGTGATTTTTCAAAGGCTTTGCTTCACATTTAGATTGTATATTTGCATGCTTGTATCTGTTTGGCATGCTCTTCCATTGTGGTATGGAAATGGGTTTTTTGTATTCCCTGTGTTCATTTGCTATGAGGCAGGACCTTCAGCTTTTTTAAGTGTAGCTCTACCTTGTCTAATTTAATTTTTTCATTCATCAATAAATAATGGTGTGCTGCTAGAATGCTGTTTTGCAAAAGGAAAGCGTTGACCTATCCCTGGCCTTCCTTTGAATTGAAAAAGTTGCTCTTCTTTGAATGAGATGTTGTACAACAGAAACGCTTTGTATTAATGTTTTCATCAAACAGCCGCCTTTACTGTATACGACGTTCTGCTTTTAGGTCAAGGGTTGTTGTTTGTTATCCAGTCTTTAATTGTAATCAGAATTAGATTGGGAAGGTTTCCTGATTTGACCAATTTAAATAATGACTCATCATAGCAGAGTGGAGAGCGCAGCAGGCAGTGTTACACCACAGATAATCAAGGGAAAACCTACAAGAATGTTTCAATGTTGGAGGGACTTCAAGCTGTCTTTGTGCAAGTTGTTTTTGTACTATCACACACTGAAAACACACTCGCACTGAATCATCTTTGGTATACATTTACTTTACACGTGCCAAAAAAGGGATCAGTTTATTCCTTCCACTTTTACCCCATTCAAACAAAACTTGAAAGAGAACTTGAAGTCAAACTGTGCTTCTCGCAGTGACTCCCCCCCAATGATCATTCAAATCATAGGTGAGAACACCTAAATGTCATTCCCTGGTTGTGAAAATCACATTATCATTGCATGTGTTGTGCTGAATAACAGTCAGTCTTTCGCTCCCCAAGTTATCTATGCTCTTTGAAGCTTGTGCTGCATGTCTGCGATTTCGGATGTGCAGTAGAAGGGGAAGGGAAGGCAAGGGGGGGAGGGAGGGAGGGAGGGAGGGAGGGAGAGAAGAGGGAGGGGATATGGAGGGGATGGGGGCAAGAAAGTGAGCAAGCTGCAAATTGTGTGAATAAGAGAGGGTGTTCTTTTTCTATTTTTAGCTACAACCTTACATACTGTTACACGGCTGCTGTGAGACTAATCCACAGTAGCGCTGGCTCGCAATATATGAACAGTAATTATAGGGGGATTTTTTTTGTTATCTTTGGCTGTCACCCATCACTGGATCAGGAGTCGCTCTGCTATATGCAAAGGCCTGCTTGAATTGCAAAGGAAAAAAACCCATTACATGAGTGTTGCACATGCCCAAGGACTTGAATATTAACAACCTTCTGGTGGTACCCTGGCAGAATAAACACTTGACAGATTTTTTCTTCTTCTCATGAATCACATTCACGTGGCAGTGCCAGGTGAATAATCCTGCTACGACTCTCTTGCTCCCCACCGGTGCTGTGATTTGTTCTGTGCTCAGTGTTGTGACGAGTTGTCAAAATTCCCTGAGCAGCAAATGCTCCTGTTTTTTTACGAGAGCGTGACAACTTAGTTCCCTAGCTACGAAGTGGTTCAACTTATCTCGGAAAAGTAATTTCTTTCGGATATTTTAAAGATAATTGATAGGTAGAGCATACCTTTTTAATAATAAGAACAAGCACAGATAGATTCACACACAAAAAAGCTCCAGACTTTTATTTCTTCCACTCCCTACTTGTTTACGATTGTTCTATTGTTTTTCTGTAATTGAAATGATAACATCCTGTTCCTCTTGAAGATTAAATACAATTCTCAACACAGTGATGTCTGTTGAATGAGCAAGAAGGTACTGCTCAAAGGCACAAAATCATCTGTAGGCTGCTGATAGGATTAAGGAAGGATCGATGAAATCACTTCACCATGGATTGAGATTTCTTCCAATCATAACTCACCTCCTTTTTTTACTCTAGTGAAACAAAAGCTTCTTGTTTTCTCATGGCTGCTATTGTCTTCTGGCCCAATTTCCAAATAACATTCTCCAGTTTGAAATCAATATCCCACACAAATGATTGACCATTTTTGTCAATTTTGTTCAATCTCAATTAAGTGAATATCTTCATATTGTTTCCCTCAATATGTTAAGATACACAACTATGCTTACTTCTGCTTGCTCTGAAACTAGGATGAATTCACTGTCACTGATAAAGGTGGATGATTACTTCAGGATGAGGAGAGTATTTATTTTTCGTTTAGCAGTCAAAGTGGGACACTGTTTCCTCATTTTACCCTTGAATATTCCCTTAATACCCCTCAATAAACCGTCTGTAAATCCCTGCTCAGGAGACGGGAACGTGATTTGAAGTTTTAATATGTGACCACTGCAGGTGTAGAACATACTTTGGTCTTCTTTGAAGTGATTAATTCCTCTCTTGCTTCCACTTGTGTTATGGTTCCAGCACACTCACAGATTCCTCACACCTCTTTACCCAGTGGGCTCTCCTGCAGTGGGAGATTAGCTTCATGCTCTTGGTGCTGCTAATCATGTAGAAGGAGTCACGTTGCAGGAGGTTTTTCTGGTACAGTAAGTGTGTGCACTCAGCAAGGTAACATCAATATTTTTCAGTCAAGGATTTGGGCTGTTTTCCCCTCTTTCCTTGTTTAATTTATTCTAGTTTGCGTTAAGGGTAACTTTGGAAAAGCCATTCTAACTGTGACTCTACAAGACCTGTGCATTCATACTATCATTTACCATGATGTGCTCCTTTTAACTAATTGAAGACATTTTGCCACAGGAGATGCATTATCGTTCAGCCAGATTTAAATGATCTCACACAATCAGTGAGGGTAAAATATAAAAATAATTCAGACTACAACTGTGAATCTTTTTTAATGTCATCTAGCGCTTTGAAGCAACACATTGCTGCAGACTTTCAGGGTTAGCACACTCTGCTGATAGTGTGTTTTAGTGCTTTTCCTGGTGCACTTTGTCTACAAAGAGCATAAATAATGTTGCTCCCGGTGCTCACAAACAAACAGCAGTAAAGATATGATGTTTTCACACTGGCTTCTTTTCAGTTTCGATGGCTTATTGAAGAATAACTCAAATTATATTATTTTGACTGTAGTTTCAGTTTCTCTTGGGAACTTATTTCCATTTTAGTGGGTCTGTGATCTTGATGAAATGTATGAACCAAAACGTAACTTAAAAAAAGTAAAGGAAGAGATTATAATTATGTAGCGTGACCTGATGTACTTTATGTCTAGACCTGTTAGTGACCGGTCAATCACAGATGAATGCTATTGGTCTGCACCAGTGGACATACTCATCCTCACATGAGATGGAAATCATGGTTATGCATCTGTGAAGCTAAATCACATCAGAATCACCAGTAAATAGCTTGACACTGTGTTAACCCAGAGTAAGAACTATGCAAATATGTGCATATCCAAAGGTGATGAAATTCCTCCGTCGTTGGAAAGCTTTTGTGTCAAGATGTTCTGGGAAGCATTTTTTCTTCGTGTAATAAAAAAACAGACACCTTCAAATTAAGCTTTTAAAACTCCTCACAGAGGAAAACTGCTGTCAATGCAATCGTTCTGATTTAGAAGGCGGATCAAAGGACACCTGGCACACATTTACAATGCACCTACCTTCTAGCCCCTGTGCTTGGAATTAGACATCTCCCACTTCCATTAACCTTCAGATGAATGAGTGCGCTACCAGAGGAGCCTGATTTAATACAGAGTGAGGGTCAGCGGGCAATGTCTCTCCTTCGCTTCATCTTT